TGGTGATTGCAGCCATGAAATTAAAAGATGTTTACTCCTTGGAAGGAAAGTTATGACCACTCTAGACAGCATATTAAAAAGCAGAGACATTACTTTGTCAACAAAGGTCCGTCTAGGCAAGGCTGTGGTTTTTCCAGTAATCATGTATGAATGTGAGAGTCGGATTGCAAAGAAAGCTGAGCACTGAAGAATTGATGCTTTTGAACTGTAGTGTTGGAGAAGACTCTTGAGAGTCCCTTGGACTGCAAGGAGATCCAACAAGTCCATCCTAAAGGAAATCAGTCCTGAATATTCATTGGAAGGACTGATGCTGAAGCTGAAATTCAGTACTTTGGCCATCTGATGCAAAGAACTGGAAAAGACCTTTGGAAAAGACCATTGGAAAAGACCCTGATGCTGGGTAAGATTGAAGGCAGCAGGAGAAGGGGACGACAGAGGATGAGATGGTTGGATGGCATCACTGACTCGATGGACATGAGTTTGAGCAAGTTCCGGGAGTTGGTGATGGATGGGGAAGCCTGGCGTGCTGCAGTCCATGGGGTCGCAAAGAGTAGGACATGACTGAGCAACTGAACTGACTGACTTCACATTGCACTTTTCTCCCCACGAAGTTTGGAGTAAAATTCCAAATCCTGGTGAAACTGCTAAGGAAAACAACATGCAGTTTCCTCAAATATTAAAAATAGAACTAGCATATGATCCAGTGATTCCACTTCTAGTTATATATCCAAAGGAAATAAAAAGGGACATCAGAGAGATACCTGTATTCTCATGTTTAGTGAAGTATTGTTTACAATACTTGAGATATGGAAACAGTGGACGAATGGATAAAGAAGATGTGGTGTTTTATATATATATATATGTACACACACACATATATATATGCAATCGAATATTATTCAACTATGAGAAAGAAGGACATCCTGCCATTTGCAACGACATAGATATAGCTTGAGAACCTTATGATAAGTGAAATAAGCTGGACAGGGAATGACAAATACTGCATGGTATCATTTATATGTGGAATCTTAAAAAGAAAAAGTTTAAAAAAATCCTCAACTTCTGTGAAGTCTAGCTCTTGTTGACCTCCCCCATCTCACTTGTTCACTGTCTCCCAGCCACACGGGTCTCTTGGTCCAGGACTGGTCCTACCTCAGGACCTTTGCACTTGCTGTTTTCTCTGCCTCAAATGCTCTTCCTTCAGGGCTTAGCTCCAGCTTCCGTGAGTCGTCTTAAATCCTTCTCTCTCCTATAACTCAGCGCAGTGACTGCTCATTCCTCGGTCCTTGGATGACTTGTGTTCTCTGGACCTGGGGAGGGACCTTCTCGTTGAGCCCCTCTGCCTGCTGCCCTGTTTCTTTCCTCTCCTGCCCAGGGAGTCTACATGTCCTGTTTCACTTTTTTTGTTGATCCACTGACCACTTGTTGAGCATCTTCACTGAGGCATTCCCCAAGATGTGGCCAGTAATTCTGAGATGGTGACAAAGACGGAGTACCTCTGCCCACCTGCAATTCTACCACAGAGGGATTCTTTTGAAGGTGCACTCTAAGGCATGCTCAAGGAAATTTGGAAAGAGACTCATCCATTCATGATAGAGGCACATCCATCAGCTACCGTGTTCCCATTTGGTGGATGTCACTGTAAGTCCCAGGTGGTGCTAGTTGTAAAGAACCCCTCTGCCAATGCAGGAGACAAGAAACATGGGTTCAACCTCAGGGTCGGGAAAATTCCCTGGAGGGTAGCATGACAATGCACTCCAGTATTCCTGCCTGGAGAACCCCATGGACAGAGGAGCCTGGCAGGCTACAGTCCAAAGTGTTGCAAAGAGTTGAACATGACTGAAGCGACTCAGTACTTA